GTTCATCTTGGAGTCAGTAATGACTCCAAGATCTCTTTCTCCCTTCGTGCTCTCGAGTAATTTTGATGATGCAGAATAAAGACTGTATTGCATATGAGCTGTTTAGTGAATACTATACTTAAGAACAAATAAATTTGTAAAAATTTGGATTACATGTTTAAAAAAATAGGGCACAGGAAGAAGTTTGCTACGAAAATTATTATTCTGAAAGATTCTACTAGCTTCTTTTTCACTAGATTGCTTAAGTTGCTTGATGACTTGGAAGAGATCATAATATTTAGAGTGGGGAAAAAAAAAGTTTGTGTACATGCAATAAGCCTTGGTTCAGACACTTTTACTAGTACAGACTAATCACTGTCCTAACTGCTTTTTATTAGGTGAACAGAACTGTAATTATGACTGCATAAGCTTTAATAACAGATTACACCAGTACCTAGCAGCAGCAGGAAATGACATTTTGTGCTATATCCAACAGTAACATCAGCCACTTAGCTGTCATGTTATTATTTTCTTTGTTGAACCTGCAGTCACAGTAATGGAGGAGAACTCAAATGCCAGTTTTGAAGAAGATTTTGAAGGGCAGGCTATGCATACAGGTAAGGAAACCATGCTTTGGGCCAGTTTAGCACAACATTTAAAATAGATATAGAGAGGCCACACCATACTCCGTGCTGGAGAGCAAATACATAGATGCTCTAAATAGCTAACATTATCTCTGCACTACTGAAGCCCCTTTATATTTTACCTGTGCCCTACTAATAGTCTAGTCCAGAGCTGCCCTACTTGTAGCCTGCATACTGTATGCATAGGGTGACCACCTGGGACAAAGTGAAATCTGGGGCACTGCCCACACACCTCTCAAGTCAGCGGCATTTCTGTAAGCAGAGGCAGGGGCAGGGCGGCCTCTTGCAGTTCTGATATTCAGGCAGCTCAGGGAGTCAATGGCCCATTAATAACCCATTGTTCTTTACTTCACAGTGTTAACAATCATCTCCCCTTTTTAATCCTCATTCCACTGATCAAGCTAATTTATTTTCAGGCAATTTTGCTGCCTGCTAGGGCTTCCTATTTCACAGCTCATGCTGCTCCACCTCCCCACCCAACACCCAGGTCACTCATTTGTATATTCACCAACCGGCCTGGACTGGCCTCCAAAATCTAGGACTGTCCCAGCCAAACAGGGACGTATGGTCATCCTATGCCTGGGGATTGGGAGTGAGTAATTAGCAGCCTGTGAGTCCCACACAACCACCACTTCCTCCACTGCTGCTGGGTGCTCCAGGTTCCCCCTCTCCCCTCCAGCTTCTACTTTCAGTCCCTGCCCCTAGGATCTAAGCAGCATGGCCTGGTAAGCCTACATATCAGGGGTGGGAAGGGAGCCATAACTAGGGAGTCGCTCTGTGGTGTGTACCAAGGGAGTCCACATAGCCTTCATGGCCATGGAGGGCCCACATGGTGGGCAGCCTCTGGCTGCTTAGAAGTTGGGCAGCCTTAGTCTACTCCATTGCAGCAATGCATCTTCCTAGGAGTCCTTTCCAAATCCACACTCTTGACCTATTGCTAGAGGTTTTTAAAAAGGCACTAAAACAGAGGTATTAGATTCATTATCAGACTTCCAAATATGTGTCCTGAGTTCTACACTGTGGAGTACCCAGCAGCTCTGAAGATATTCATCATTTCAGGATACTTTTAAGCCTATGGTGCTCAACCTTTTTGCCCCTCCAAAAAAAAAAAATAAAAATTAAACATTTTTTAAAAGTATCCAGCACCTGGGGCAGGCACAGCGAGGCCCAATCTGGCTATGCAGATGGGAACATGGGCAGCCCACCTCCAATGCAGCTGCGCAGTGGCCCCATCCAAGAGGAGGAGGGCATAGCCCAGCCCCCATCTAGTTATACAGGGAAAAAGGAGTGTCACCTAGCCCCAATGTGGCCATGCTGGGGAGAGGCCATGGTCTGGCTCCAACCCATTGTGCATGCCTTGGGAATTTGACAAGGGGCAGGGTGGTGGTATTAATTACCAATGCTCCCCTGCTACCAAATTTCCCCACTTATAGGAAGCCCCACAGGTTGGAGGTTGAGCACCCCAGCTTTAAGGTTCTGGAATTAGGTGAGTTACCGTATTTTCTCACATGCCATAACCAGATCCCTTGCCCCCTACGTTGCGGGGGAAAAGAGAGACACCCATCTTGTTCAGGGAAGGCAGAATGAAAAAAAAAAAGATTTTTTTTTCAGAGTCATGAATGAGTCCTGATTGGAAGGACAGAGTACAATTTTCAGCATCACTGCTCAGCATAATATTGCTGCTCAGATTAAAGCTATAGATTTAACCCTCTAATAGCTGTCCTAAATTGGCAGCAACATCTGACTGAGAGGGTTAAGCCTGTAGTTTTGAAGCTGAAGGGTGCATTCTGTCCCTCCTCCATGGCTGGGAAAGAAGCAGAGTCCCAGGCCGTTATTACAGTATCTATATGCTTTCATCCCAGCAGATTTCCTGCTTAAGACACAGACTTCAATTTCAGAGGACTGATTTTTTGTGGGGGAAAGGTGGATGTGGCATGTGAGTGAATATGGTGTTCAAGCTCCCACCTGGCCTTTTAGGAAATTCTTAGCCTTAATTTTTCCCACCTTGTTGAGTAACACGTACCTCTCTTTATAGCACTGGCTCTTTAAAACAGATATTTAGAGCTTTTACTTTCAAAGATTAGAAAGATAATCTTCATCAAATCACTATTACAGGAAGTTACAACATTTCCAACAATGGGACATTTTGCATCTCAGTGGCAGAACTGACATGCTTGACATATTTTAAGTTTTTAAGAGATTTGAAATTCCAGTGACCTTCTGAAAATTTCAGATGTTTTCATCTATTTGTTTTTTTCCCAGATGGCTGAGATTTCACTTTTGAAAAACTTAAGTGAAATTTTGAATGAGAACAATTTTCAAGAGTTTGTAAAAAAAAAAAAAAAATTTATTAGCCAATGCTACAGAGTATGACTTGCTCTCAGTTAAAAAATGTCAGCACTTGTCCTGAATTATATTTCAAAGGCATAGATATAAGCTAAAAACCCCAGCGTGATGTACTCCTTGTTTTACAGTGCATGTAAAAATCTTTAAATGTGCTCTATATTTAAAAACATCATGCTTTTTAGAAATTAAAAATAAAATCAAATAAGATCCAATATCTTTCTTAGGGCCCAAAGGGGTGATCAATGACTGGAGAAAGTTTAAATTAGAAAGTGAAGACACAGACCCTACAGCTCTGAGCAAGAAGGAAATTCTCAGACAACTGTCTTCACCGCATAGGTCTTCCAGTAAAGAAGATAAAGACACCAGAGACAGATTCAGCCGTAAGGTAAGAGTGAGGGGAGGGGAGGGGAGGGAAGGGACAACCTGAACAAATTAGCTGTTCTAAAAACAAGAAACCAAGCAAGCAGATGAGTCAAAAAATCCTGACTGTAATTTGTACCAATCTCAATTTTAACATTTTGCACAAAGTAATGTAATAGCTCTTCTCCTTCTCTTCCCCAATTTATCAAGCTGGGCCAAAAATGACCTAAATGGTACCATGAAAACTAGCTCAGGTTTTGGAAGTACATCAAATGTTAGAATGGCTATATGTGGTTCATATTAGCATCAGTTATAGAAATGTAACCTACTGTAAATTTAATATGAATAACAAAGGAAAAGACTATGCTGTCCTTAAACTGCATAGTATTTCTCTTCTTGCAAGTTGTTCCATAGAGGAAAATGAGACTACATACAGAGTAAGGAAGTAACTATCTAGAATAAAGATAGAAGCATTTTACCCAAATGCATACCTTTATGAGCAATCAGCTTCTTTACAGGAAGCAGTTGTGCAGCTATCATACACAGATACCTGACTTAAAGGTGAGAGTTTAATCAACCGTTGACCAGTGTTAAGGACTCAATCCCTAATGACAGATTTTGCCAAGAATGTTGAGATGATTCTTATGCTATCGAGCTGCCTCAGATCACCTTCATTTCAATATGCCTGAGACCATGTGCATTACAGTAGTTATGGATTTCATCCAAGAAATAGAAAAAGATGGGGCAGAGTTTGGACCTAATTGATGTCACTGACAAAATTCCCAGTAATTTTAGTAAGGCCAGAATTTGACTGTATTCTTATTTTAAAGGTATGTTGACTGTCATCAATACCATTTATCTGTCCACACAAGGGAGCAAAATAGGGATCCCATTCAAAAGTTTAATTCCTGTCTTTCCAAGATGGCAGTTGTCAGCTATTATTCTTTCACCTAAGTGTCTTCTTACGTAAAGATCCATGGTTAATACCTTGTCCCCTTTGCGGTTCAGTAGATAAAGGACCGCTCTGTAATATGCTACTCTCTCAATGTTCACAGATGAGTATGCAGGAATATGAGCTAATGCAAGATGAGAAAGAAGATGAAAGCTGCCTGCAAAAATATCGCAAACGGTGCATGCAGGATATGCATCAAAGGCTCAGCTTTGGGCCCAAATACGGTTACATGTGTGAACTGCAAAACGGAGAAGAATTCCTGGAAGTCATTGAGAAGGAACGAAAAACCACCACAATTATTGTTCACATTTATGAAGATGGCATCAAGGGCTGTGAGGCACTGAACAACAGCTTAAGTTGTCTTGCAACAGAATATGCATCAGTGAGGTTCTGTAGCATAAGGGCTTCTAATACGGGAGCTGGAGACCGCTTCTCAAGTGATGTGCTCCCAACACTGCTCGTCTACAAGGGTGGGGAGCTTTTGAGTAATTTTATTAGTGTTACTGAACACTTCAGTGAGGATTTTTTTGCTGTGGATGTGGAGTCCTTCTTAAATGAGTATGGGCTGCTTCCTGAAAGGGAACTCCCAGCACTTGAAAATGGCAACATGGATGAACAAGATATTGAATAATTAGAGCAGGGGTTGTCAACGGGGGGTACACCTACCCCCAGGGGTACTTAGAAAGGCTGTAGGGGGTACATTCAGGTGGGCAGGGATGGAGTGTACCATGGGGCGTGGCCGTGGCATCTCCCCCAGTGTGTTCCCACAGCTTGCCTCTTACCTGCGGGAGGGACAGGGGGAGGGGGGAGGAGCATGCCAGGCGCCACTGGCCCCACATGGCACACTGCAGCACCTCCCCACCACCTCAGCTTCCTCTCCTCCACCCCTTCCTGGACACCAGCAAGGGTCTGAATGGCTGGGGGTGGGGGGAAATGTACTTCTATGCCTGTTCCCAGGAGCAGGGCCAGGGTGGGTGGTGAGGGCAGTGGTCCCCCACTACGGGCTGCATAGGCGCAGGCTGGATGGCCAGAATGGGGGGACTCACATGCAGTGGCTGCTGCTGCTGTCACCACCCACTGCTCTGTGCCACCACTGCGCCTGTGCCGCTTTCCCACGGCCCATCACACATGCAGCTCCATGGGCTGCTGACGGGTAGTGCGTGATTGGCCAGGTGCAAGGCCCATCAGCAGCCTGTGGTGAAAAGTGGTGTGGGTTTAGCAGTGGCAGTGAGTGGTAATAACAGTGGTGGCAGTGTGGGGCAGTGAGTGGTGGTGGCAGTGGCAGCCACCGTGCGAGGCCCCTCCATTCACCCCCCCCCAAGCACCGCCTCTACGCACACCCCTGGGAGGGCACATGCCCCTAGATTTGTGCAGGCTGCCACTGTGGGCTGGAGCTGTGCTGGGCTCTTCCCAGGGGGAGGGGGTTGGGCCACACTGCACTTGGGCTGGGTGGTGGCAGCAGCACTGGGAGGGGGTTGGGGGGCTATGGCAAATTTTGGAGTGGCTGCAGCTCCTCCCAAAGCCCTGCTCCCAGTGGTGCCACTGCCTGCCATGAGCACAGTCCTACCCCAGCCAGGAAGAACCTGGCAGTGCTGTAGCCCCAGCCCGCCCTGCACACCGATCCAAGGGTACGTGCCCCCCTCATTCCCTCCTGGGGGGCATGCAGCAGCAGGAGCTGCTTCCCCCGTGCCCTCCAAACGAGCTACTTGCAGCTCTATCTTGTGCCCACCCTGCCATAGCTGTGCAGCACCTGCCCCAGCCCCAGCCCCACTCCCTTCCTCACTATGGGGGCCTCAATCTGCCCCCCACCCCTTAAAAACAAGGAAAAAACATAAGGGGGTATAGGAGTTGAAACCAAGTCAGAAGGGGTACACTTATTAAAAAGCCTGAAAACCCGTGAATTAGGGAACTAGTTTTTTTACTATCTTTCATTTCTCTTCAATGTATTGCAATTGACTTGAACAGGATCCATCTCAGTTACAGAAGGCTGTGTGCACTTATGATGTAAGATTTGTTTGCCATGTGTCAGTATGTGAACTGTGTTAAAAACACCAGTCAGTTCTATATATACTTGTTTCTATGTAATCTACAGCAACAGCAAAATTAGATAGTTTAAAGGCACAATATTTTCCCATTAAAGACAAAGACAGCTTAGTCAGATTTTAGTAGGAACAGAACCAGATCCTCTCTCCAGTATGTCAAAAGCACCCAGCACACAGTGTTCTATATTTATCTTTTAATAATTGTGAAAGTGTGGAAGTCAGCAAATTGCTGAAAAAAGTTCTCTTCTAAGAAAATAATACAGCCAGTGAACTTTTGTTAATGCAAATTTTATCAGCTACTTTCTGGTGTGACGTTTTACCAAATTGTGAACATTTACACTGTTTCTTTAAAGTAGCTGTGTATTACTGAACTAATATTTTTGTGTTTATGTAATAAATTTGAATAAAGGTTAAAAAGAAACAGGAGTCATTCATAAAATGTAACTTTACAGCCCATTTAAAGAACACCTAAAAAATATCAGAAAAATGTTCAAGCAGAAAATTTCAAACTTTATTTAAAAGAAAAATTGTGGAGACCTAACACTGTAAATGCAGGAACACATAAAACAAGAGCTTTGAAAGACCTGTTCTGACACACACAGTAAGAGAGCACTGCAAAAAAAGTTGTATAGTTAAAACCATGAAAGTCAATAATTTCCCAGTACATAAAGTACCACATTTTGGTCTTTTCTAGCATTGCAAGGGTTTGTTTCATGCCTTGACAAGCTTGAAGGCTGATAGGTGCAATTACCAAATAAAAATCAAATATATTCCACACTTGTACCTGTTTTACTGAACATCTGAGGCTATTGAATCTTTAAGACTATTTAGCAACCTAACTTACTGTTCATCACTAATACTGTTTATTCAGCTTTGCATTTTATTCACTGTATACAACTACTCTAGTAAATCTTGCTTTTTGTTCAGACATTCCATGGACTGAAATCCTATTAGTGTCTGTGACAGTTCTGCATGTTGAGGCCTTAGTCCTCCATGAAGCTTTCCTTTGTTACTGTTCCCATATATATATTGCCCTAACTTGCAGACATCTAAACATTTTCTATCTCAACTGGAAGTGGCAAATGCTTCCCAATGGATTTACATGAAAAATTTGTAAGTAAAATCATATCCCTGGTTTTAAGTTAAGGTAAGAATTCTCTTCTTCCTGTTGTCATTCACAGTTACCACAAAGCACTGTCTAATAGACTTCTGCTTTACAATTAGAAAAGAGTAACATAAGCATTAGAGAGTCTTCATTTTAAAACAAGGGAATTAGTGAAAGCATTAACTAATTATGTAAGTTTGCGACACTCAAGAGCAATGTAAAATAAATTATATAAAACAAATGAGGTCTTCCCAGCTTTCCAACCAATAACTTGCATTCCTTTATAAATCCAAACCCTATTTGAAAAGTACTTCACATTACATAATGACTGACATCTCAGTTCCACCTACAAGTTGAATAACATACAGCTAAAAGTGTATATATTCTTGTGGTATCAAATTCCTAAGTGTAGGTATAGTGTTATATTACATTAATCAAATCCTTCAGTGCAATGCCTAGGCACAGTAATTCAACTACCATCATGCTTCTCTGGAGCAGCCCCTTTCCCCTCTTAAAGATTTGTCTCTGTTGCGCTTGTATCCCTAACCAGTAATTACAACTGATCTGATGCATCTCCATTCTGATCAGTACATTATTTGTTAGTAAGCTACAACACGAATGAGTAGACAAATAGGTGAATTATTACAACGATTATCAGCTAATGCAGTCTTTTGTTATACCATAAGATGAATTATTACCACCTTGGGCAGAGGGCTGGAAATAGACAACTCTGGTGTAGAGAAGACAGAATTTAAGAGCGAAAGGAAAAAAGTTATTATTCCTGATGAAGCAGGTCTCAGCTCCTCCTTTTAGGGTGCATGCACACACACACACAAACCACAAGGTATATTTAGAAAGAAATAATCACATGCCAGCTTTATAGGCAGATGAAGCATGCTTAAGCAGGAGTTCCCTAAGAATTCCATAACCCATAATTTTTTAAATGAAACATCCATTTGGCGCCAGCTCTCAACAGAAGTAGCTTGTGAATAATCAAAGTTAGAAATGAGAGCTTTGATCATGGTATCCATACACAACTTTGCAGGAAAGACTAAACAAGAGGAAGGAGTTGACTCAAAATGCTGCAAATTGTTCTACACAAGATTCCTGAACAACAAAGTTAAAGATTTAATGAATCCATAAAACAAACTTTCTGCTCTCGGTGGCTCGCATCTCAGTCCAATTTAACTCAAAGAGAATCTTTCCATTTGCATCAGTGGGTTTTTGGTAAAGGAGAAATAAAGAATGTGGTTTTTGCCTATGGGCACATTGGCAAAAATGGAGCCAGTAATGTACGACTAGTACAACTTTCATGTTTTTTTGCAGTGGTAAAATAATGCTATCCCACCCTACAAGCATCAGTTAAAAGTTATAGATTCAATGCCACACAAGAGCTTTGAGGTCCAATGTAGCCTCTACTGTAAATTCTGATGCATTTACATCAGTATAATTTACACTACTTTGTTCCATCTGACTTCAGAGCCAAAAAAATGACTGGTAGCAGACTGTAGTACCTTACACTACCTCACCACTAGGTTCCACAGCAACCAGCTTAAATATTCAACTAGTTTGTGGACATATGACAAATAAGCCAGTTTTATTTTGGTTTTTTACATTTTTTTTTTACATGTGGCTTTACATCATAGGTTCAGTGATTTACACTAGTATAGGGCTCTGTATCATGTGTCCACTTGTTTCACAGCAGTGTAAAAGGCAAATTATACCAGTGTAAACATGTGTCTATGCTACGCATAGGAAAGTACTCAATTCACAATTTCTGCTAAATCATTAAATTGAATATTGTCCACACACACACAAAAAACTTAAATATTTACTAAAAATAAAATGCTAGCTCCCCTGCTGTGGTGCGGCCATGCAGCCTGGGAAGAGGGGGATGGGGGGGCACCGTTGGCACAAAGGGGAGCAGCAAGATGGTGGCAGTCTCTGCCCTTTGCTGCTGATTGGCTGAGAGGGCTCCCTGTCATGTGGCCCAACCCTTCTCCAATCAGCAGTGAGGGGCAGGGCCGCATGACAGCCCTCTCAGTCAATCAGCGGCGAGAGTTAGAGCTGCTGAGGCCCCTTGGCTACAGGCATGGGAGGGCCCCACTGAGATAAGCCTGTGAAAAATGGCAGCCAGCCCTGCAATCTGCCTATAAAATCAGCTGCCTGCCTCCTCAATTTAGGTAGGTCCCTAGCTATGAGGTTAAATGGATGTAATTTAACTGAATTTAACAGTCATCTGTACCTCATCTGTACCCAATTTACAAACACGCTTACAACTTTTAGTCCCTCATAAAATATTCAATAATTCAAACCCTCTATATTTAAACAAAAATGTGTCAAACCAACAATTTGGTATGTAAGAGACAAAGATGATTAAATGAGTACATGGGTTCAGGCTTCCAAAACTTACATTAATTTAAATAACTGGCCAGATTTTCAGAATCCTGGAATCCCAAAAGCTCCCACTGAAGCCTTACACTGGAAAATCTAATTGGAAAAGGCAAGTATATCAATGAATAGAAGTGGTTAGAAATATGTAACTCTGATCTAAAAAAAAATCTTAAATTAAATGAAAAGGGTCCTTAAATTTTAATTAAAACTGCTATAAAAGTTTTGCTTAAAAGCAAAAGACTAAACAGCACAAGTCTTAGGACTTGAACAGACAGAATCAAGAATAAGCAGCTTTTATATTTTTTGTTATCTTGATTTTCAGCCCTGGGATCTTTCTCTTCTTTAAAGGGTTGTTTCTCTAGTTTCTTAAGATAACTAGAAATTGCATCATAACTAAAACGGCAACTATGAAACTAATGCAAGAACACTGGAAAATCCCTCATCTGTACCATTACAATTCTCAGACCACATTTAATTCTTCAACAGAGAGAATTACAGTTGACCTACAGACAGGAAAGCCAGGTCCTACGGCTTTTGCCACCCACTTCTGCTTCCTAAAGGATTTGGTTCTTCTGAGAATGACAGTCAAACCTGTAATACTCTACTTAATTTGCTTCAATCACTTGTAAATAAGCAAAGTATCAATTTTCCCTCCCATTACTCAGAAAAGAAATTGTATTCTTTTTGTGTTAAACCAAATGTCTCATCCTAGTCTACTTTACTTCCTCACCATCAGCTCCCAAACCTTTAAACTGAAGAGTTAGCCTTCCATTAATCCATCGTGTACACAATTAAAAATAATCTGTCATCTGACAGCAAGAGAATATGGTTAGCACCCTTCCTATTTAACAAATAGATCTTTATGATTTATTGAGTAAGAAATTACCCGTCTCTCACACACTAATACATACCCATTGCCACACCCACCCTCAGTGGGAGCCAGCGGTTCTCATGGATGCTGTGCCCCAGCCGCAAAGGTCTAATTTTAAGATCTAATTTTAGACTATAGCCAACAGTCAGATTAGGGTGACTATCACTGTTACACAATACACTAAGTTCTTGGCATCATAGAAGACTCATCCACTAAATAAACCTTATGAGAAAGGCCCAAATACCACCCAGGATCAAGTTTTATACTTCTAGACTTCTCAAGAAGTGCTGTATTTACACAAATCTTTCTAGCATTATACTTCACCAGTTTTAGAACTGGAGTGTTGGATCATTAAATCACAAAAAACTTTGCCCGACATTTCACAATCATGCAGGATGATAATGGCCTAGGCTTAGAGTTTACTATCTGAGTTAACAAAACATTAACAAAGGGAGTATAAGAGTATACAGGGGAAATAAATGGGCACACTATTGTCACTGTTGTGGTATTAGCAGCCCCAAAACTGACCAGCACTGCTTATTTTCAAACCTTCAAAACAGTCCATTTTGGGGCTGCTAATACCTCCACACTGACAGCAGTGTGTACTTAAGGAATGCAGTTTACATTATGTTTAAATAAGTGCACACTACAGGCAAATGCACAAGTTTTTTCCCCCCTAAGCCTATGCATGTAAACCTAGTACCACATATGTGGATTTATGCATGTGCATGTATGCATTTATACATATTCATGTATTTCTTAACAAAACCCAGGCTTTGGAAAACTCAGACTTATTTCAGATGGAGGCAAAATCAAAAGCCATAGTTATGGTGCTCATGTGAATAAATGCTCAGGCAACCATTCCCTTCTTTTAAAAACTGTGGGGGTTAGGATTCCAAATTGGTTTCCTAACCTGAGGCAGTACTAAGAGAGAAGAGAACTCTTTGACAATCAAGTCCAAATTCCAGGTCCTCTTAATAATCACATGGGGGGGGTGGAATCATACAACCAGTATTTATCAATGAGAAACTGATTTGCTCCTTCCTTTCCACCATTCTCTTAGGAGAAGGGAGCAGAGTGTAAGGAGCACTTTTTGAAATAAAAGGCAGCTGAAAGAAGGATAGGGAATTCATTTCCATCATGGGTCATAAAGATTCATTTGTCATAGGCTATTTTGCCTATGGAACCCATGAAACTGCACTTATTTGCAAAATAAATTTGCTGCAAGATTACCTTCCACTCCAGTTCTAAAGGCTTTGTTTCTTCCTCCTGCCTTCAGGTAGGTCCATTTAAACAAAGCACTGAGCAGAAAAGGGTCATATTCATAAAGGAGCATACCATAGTTGCTTAATAAGGTTTTAACCAGCAAATGTTAAATTGCTGACTTGGTGGAATTAGAAACAACTTCTTTAAGCATTTAGATTTGATATTTCATGAGAACAGTGGTTCTCAACCTGTTCAGGGTCAGGACATCTCCCACATTTTTTTTTTTAATGTGATGGTGACCTAATTGAGAACCACAGTTGGCACTGCTTTAACTTGCCTCAGTGATTCTCAACCAGATTCTGCTGCCTCCAGGTAAAAACACCCCAATTGCAACACAGCCAGTCTGCGAAAGGCTGTGACATGTGCTACATTAGGACTCTGATTAGCTTAGAGCAAGCAGCAGCTCCCTTGTGCTGTGTAGCTCTTCCCAGTCCAACCCTACCTGCTCTTCTGCCAGGACCAGACATGTGTGGGTAGAACTCTTCTGCACACCTCTGTTTCCAGGACAGGCATGGGGGGGGGAGGAGAGGGCTGAACCAGGAATGACTACACAGCACAAGGCAGCTCCTGGTTGCTTTAGGCTTAGGTTCCTAATGCAGGAGGAGTAGGAGTGTGCAAGGCAGTTTAACATGTATGCTGCTTCTGCGTTGCATCACAGCACCCCTGCAGAACTTCTGCAGTTTCCCTAGTGGAGAGCCACTGCACTAGAATTCAATGAAGGAAGTACTTGTATAACTTCATTTTGCTTTTTAAAAAGTTTCAGTTCAGCCTTTTTTGATCCACAGTGAGCAAGAACTGAAGACTACCAAGTAAAGAAAATTCACTGTTCCTGGGCTTATTGCTTCCAGAAAGCAAAATTCAGAAGAACCTTAGCTTTTCATAGTTACACTTTATTCCAAGTTTAATGTTCCATTCTGTTGCAAGCCCAAAACTTTCCCATTCTTCCCCTGTAAGTTCTAGTACCTTAGCATTTCAAAACCAAATGAAGCTGAAAATATGAATGTTAAATGCACTGTAATATTAGCCTCCATGGAAACTCTGATGAATTGGAATTTCAACCTCTCACATATAAGAGGTAACTCCTACTAATTCTGTTTCAATCTTTTTTGGGTGGGAAAACAATCAATCATTCTGCCCACCACACATGCCTAAAGAGCCTCTCACCGTGCAAACAAAGTAGGTTGACCTCCCTTATTCATAACTTAAGATATTAATTACTGATCAGCTTCTAAAATGTATTCAATAATTGCTCATGTTATATAACCAATTAATACCCTGTGCTTGTGTTTTTGGCAAATCAGAATGACATTAGCTGAATATTTCAATAGGAAAGCTAAGTTAATTTTTTATGAGACGTGAACAGGAATGCATATGTATTTCTGCATGCATCTTAGAGACTTAACTACTTTATTCTTTTCTACGCTCTATACATCTTGAGTAAGAAATCTGTACAATTTGGATTAATCTAAAAGCAGGATCTTGAGACTATTACTCTGTTTGCGTATTTGCTAGGTGTGCTAAACAATGAGATGCATAGCCACTAGCAGGGAATATATATTCAGCAAACCCTTGGTCCATTCAAGTCATCCTTTCTGACTTGAGGTGGCCAGGATTTCTCTCTTGTAATCTAATAGCAATTTAACATATTAGTGTCAAATCCAGGACCTGCCAAATGAGGTTCCTCAAATAAGGCAAATGTTAAGCTTTACCAGCCTTGATAAAGTCTCTTAATATATAATCTTTAATAGAAGCTACCAGGAAAAAGGAAATTTACTTTTAAAAAGATCATTCTTTCTGGATAAGAAGCTATTTTATAGGTAATTTCCCCATCAACAATACAGAGCTCTAATTTCCTTGAAATTGGACCCACCTTCACTATTTTGCATGTTAAAACAAGGAGCTGCATGCATCACTACCATTTACAATGCACATTACTTGTGATTTTTAGGTAACATATTACATTACTGATATTTAATCTACAGGTTTCTATTTTGTACAGATATGAATACTGGTCATTTTTTTCCCCATGAGGATCAGACTTCTGCTTTTGCTTGCAGTCTAGTCACTGAAGTAGCTAAAAGAGAAGGCAACTGCAATGACTGCGATTACAGTCCCCATTACCACACCTAAAATGATAAAGAAAACACATTTTCAGTGTGTGAAGGCAACAGCATAAATCGCCAGAAGATAGGGTGGGAACAGAGTAAAGGAAAATGAGAGAACAATAAACAACACTGAAAACAGCTCTTTTGAGAAAGCAATGCTGGTCAAGCACTAACGTGTTTAAATATCAGCCTATATTGTATAGCAACATAAATTCAATTTATTATACAAATGACCTATAAAGAAAGAAGTCTTTCAGAGATCCAATTGACTGTGCTTTTTATTAACACCTATTTGGTGTACTGGCCCATAAAATCTAATGCACCAAACCTGCACTATTTCTTGACATTAGCGAACTAACTCAGATTAAATGATGTCATGTGAAGGAGCAGCATAAACATAAACCTAAATTCCAAGAAATTAACTAAATCTTTTTAATACAAAAGGGACTGGGAGCAGATGTAGTAAAACTTAAAAATCACCCTGGAGATCTCATCTTCCTACCGATTAAAATGAAGTGCTGTCGCAAATAAAAATTTATAAACAGAACCAAAATATAGCTGTTGTACTTCTTCAGTTAAAGTAAACCCATGTATTATGACAGGTAAAACAAATTTAATATTGAAGTTGATTTAAAGTTGCTGTAAGAGTTGTTCAGTTGATTACTCAAATAAGAAGTGTAACTCAGGGTTGACCCTAAAAGTCTTAGTTAAAAAGAGAAGATTTCTATAAAGATTCTAGGAAAGAGAGAAATTCACTGTTTGCCCCAGGAGTTTCACAGCTGGATTACTGACTCCTACAGATACAAGGTCTTTTCTTCATCAGATTTTCTTACTGCTGCTACATAACCTAGAAAAGCTGGAATTCACTGGCAGTGTAACATGTCAATTTGGTTAGCAGCAGGTGCTAATGTGCCTTTTACTCTAAATGTATACACTTATTCAACACCTTGACTCAAGCCTCCTAACTGCCTTTAATTTAGAAAAGAGCAGGAAACCTGGGGCTTCCCAGAAAAGGAGAGGATTACTTATATCATTTGTTTTGAAGATGATTTGGCCTCCTGTTTGTTGGCTATTGTTTTTCAGAACCACCAAGCACCTGTTACTCCCAATTGAGAAAATATTTTTAAAGACTATTAAATTAAAAAGGCTCTACTTAAAATTACCACTGTTATGCTGTTGTGCTCATCATTAAAGTCTCTTTGTTGTGCTGTGCACTTGGAACTTAATCATATACAGTACTGAGTATGCTGGCCCTAAAACACAAGCTAAATATTCAAGTACTCCTACTCCAGTCAGCAGGACCAGGTGTTTAAATGTTAAGCATGTGCTTAAGTCATTTATTATATCAGTGGCAGTGGGGTCAGTATTCTGTAGGACCAAGCCCTTAATGAGTAAGACAAACAAGGCAAAAGTCCCTAACATTCTTTGCAAGAAGACTGGTATTCAATTTAAGCTCAAAGAGTAAGTCTAAATCTATTTCATCATTTTCTAGTCCTATGTTTTAAATCTTAAATTATTTTTGTTTTGCTACTTCCATGTGAGGTAGTTACTACTGATATTGTAAGAATAAATGATACTGAAAAAGCAAAATATTTTCCTAATCTCATAGGATCTCTAGAGGTGACATACCCAAGTTTTGTTGAAGTTTTAACAACACTGTTGCTTTTGTTAGTTTCTTCTGCTGCGCATCATCCGTGTTGTCCATAATTGGATTAATATCAACTAAATAAAGGTTAAGAAAAAAGTTTAGTGAAACATGTTCATTACTTCAACCATTTTTAAAACACACACACACACGTACGTATACTCATGATCAAAATAATCCCAAATAGATTAAGGTGCACACAATTCTTGATCAACTACTAATGTGACAAACCAATTCATTATAAGTGATACTAGTATCACTTATATTGATATTATAGTAATACTACTGACAGAAATACAGCACCAGCAGAATCCTAGGGGCTTCAAAGACAAGTTGTAAAATGTTGAAAACAAATGAAATGAGGAGCCCAGGTTTCATTTTCAAAACGGGCAAAAGATCCCAGTCTCCAGAGTGGAATCCCAATCTTGGAGTTAGGCGGCCAGATGCCTTAGATTCTTCCCATATTTAGGAAGATAGGCGATTCTGAATAGGATCCAAAAGACAGCTAGCTGCCCAAGCTAGTTGGTAAGAAAATGCTGAAGGCAGAAGCACATCTTATTCCTACCCCTCCCTAGTTTAGGTGCTACTTACTGCAAGGTGCTTTCCTCTTGCTTGCCTTTCACAATCTGGTATTCTTTCCTAAAAGTTTACGCCGTTCTCTCACCATCCACCCTCCAAAATGGAGTGGGTGCCATTCCTTCCTTTTAAAACAGTCACCAGAAGGAAGAGTAGGCTAGTGGCACTGCCAACCTTACATGCAAAAGGTGATTGATGAGGGCACTCAGATAGGATGTTGAAAACTTGGGTTCATCTCCTTTCCCTGAGGAAATCCAAACTTTTTTTGCACTTCACAAAAGAGTGCTCCTCACAAAGATATACATCACTCTGAAATAGGGGAATTTGATACTTCATGTTGAAATGATTCCACTGCACATAAAAAGTATGTCAGGGAGTCAGAGCAAGTATAGGAGCATGACTTTAACCTAATGGTTCAGGCCATTCTTCAGGGAGGAGTCTAAGGTTCCAGTCCCTGTTATAAGGATCATGTATTTTATGACTATTTCATATAAAAAAAAATACACAAACACCCTGGAAAAGGGACTGAAACACTGGACTCCCCTTTCCCAGTTGTATGCCCTAACAACAAGTCTTATGCTCTCTTTGGGCCTAGGATTATTGAATTCTTTCCTGCTTAGTATCACAGCTTTCAAAAGGGTGGGTGGAAAACCACCCCAAACCAGATGAACATAAGCCTGGTGGTTAGAGCTCTCTCATGAGAGGCAGAAGATGTGGTTTCAAGGGCCTCAACACAGAAGGGAATCCTAGGTTTCCCAACTCCAAGATAAACCAAGTGTTCTAACACTACACCAAAAGATAAAGAGGCCAAAAGAGTCCACGTCCTCCTCCCTGGGTTTTGAAAAGAAAGGGCAGCAGTCAATGGGTTTGTGAAGATCCTGATCTGGTAAGCATGCTCTGGTAAGACTGAGTGGTTCAAGCCAATGAAAGAGGGCAGAGAGGAATGCCAGATTTCTGGATCCTGACAAGGTTTAGGTGCAAGCACAGCACTAAGATGTTCAGCCTTGTAAAGACTGCACTTCCGGGTATGCACAGAAGTGGAACTTTATGTGCTTGAAAAACTTGAATGTTGAATACTAAAGTGTGTTTAGAAGTAGTTGGCAGATGAATAGGGCACTGAATGGGACACTGCAATAGTCTCCTAGCCATGGAAATGCATGGAGCACCACCGCACCTCTGAAGCTGGGAGACCACATGGGCTATGATCTCCCAGCCCCAGTAGTACATTGTGCTCCCCAGCACCTGGGAGACTGCAGCAGCTGTTATCTCCCCCACAGACTGCCTACACATGCAAATTAAAGCTGAACAGAAACCAACTATAAAAAGTTATTCCACATTTTCAAACCATAACTTCAGATACGATTGGATCTCTGAATTTTTTTTAAGGCAGGTAACTAGTTTACACATATAGCCAGTAATTGTGCAATAGACATAACGTGTATAGACAGGGTCATAAGCATAGCAGAACTGACATCTTAATTTAAAATTCTTAAGAATTAACCTACTTCTTAATTTAAGACACAGGCTAACTACAGGTAGGCTCTCAGTAGTACTGGAAATAAAGAAGTTACACACATACAACCAGTACATAAATGCAAGACCAATCTCTGAATACAAATGGAGCCTCCAATGTAAGGCTGTGTTAGCCATATGACCATCAGTTATCCAGAGGACTCACTGCTGAGCAATACAAAGCATGACCTCCACCATGCTGATTCATACAGATGTCCTTCCACATTACATCAGCAGGAATATAAACGGGATTTGGGGAGTTCAGACTGGTGGCTTCTGAGATGTGTCAACTGTATGATAAGCTCTCTCATAGATGTTTACAAAAACCATGAGTCATTTAAATGTCATGCAAATTATCTTTTTAAAAAAAGCATTTCTTGTTTTTCTCCCACAGACCAATAGGTTTACACAGGATGTATTTTAGCTCAGCAGTGACAGATAACCAAAAAGAGACTCTACCTAATGACCTATTCCGGTCATGCAATGCAAATGCAATGCAAACACCCAAATTTGAAAGCAGCACTAGTATAAATGTGTTTAATTTTCCAAACCAGAATGACGTGTCTCTACCTTCAATAATTTTTAAATTTACTAACAAAGAACAAGTGAAGGGTAAGAGATTACAACTGAAATCTTATTTGCCTTTACCCACTCAGCATATTTAGTCCCTTGATACCAGGAACTGGGATTTATTTAAGCCAATTATTACTGCAACAATTGCTCATGCTACATTACCTTTGAACTAGTCTTACAACCGTTAATGACTTGATTGGCTACTTTTACTTACTATTCTTATTTAAAAATCTTAAAATTGGATACATGGGTATTGGTCATTAGTAGGGAGCTTCCATCAGAAGCAAGATATGGCAAAAATGCACTCATAAGCATGAATGGGAAGAGCTAGTATTATCAATAACTATGAAGAATGCCACTTCTGAAAAAAAGAACATTTTTAAATTTGTCCCATATTAACTGAACTCTCTTTTAAAAAGAGATTTTTAAACACGAGTTTGTTGTTATTCTTTCCGATTTTGATAATAAATATTGTGCTATTGCAATAGTAAGGAGCCTTAAATGGATTTTCATAATGGGTCTTTTTGTTCAAAACGATATTTCAAGGATTGTATCTACTACAGTATGAGTACTATGTACAAACCGGAAGTGATGATAAAAATCAACTGAAACTCTGCATTATTTCATTGCATTAATTACTGTTTTAATAATATAGGTTAGCTTTGAAAAACAACTTATTTTAATCATAATTTACTTGTCACCCAAACTTCTTTCATGCCATAAAAATTATGCAAAAATTACTCTTTGAACAGTTTATGTGAAAGCACTTGATATGCACCGACATCATAAATAATTAAATTATTCTGTCTTCACATTTAACACTGAACAATTCCTGCTTCAGGCTGAGAACTATACTTTAAGACAGCCTGAGTACAGAAGAATGTAGCATGTTATGCCTCATAAATTGTTAAAGACTAACCCCACAAGAAAGCTGAATTTGAATATTCTTAAAATACAGGTGAGAAGTCAGCTAGGAGTAATAGTCTCCTAATAAACCTGATATCAGATTGATACATATTCTATCAAACAAACTTGAATTAATTCCGTCTTAGAAACAGTAGTCTTTTCAATATTTTTTTCTAAAAGGCTCTAGTTAAGAAGTTTTCAGCTTTCCTAAGTGTATAGTTACAGAAATATATTAATGTATTATTTTGATTTATTTTAAACACACCTTTCTTACTCCACAAACATGAAATTATTCTAATATGATAAAAGTCTGTCTGTCTGTCAATAACGCTTTATTCACACTCTGATTGGTTGTCTTAGCAGCCAATCACAATGCCACCATGATGGCAGGTATGGAGCAGGGGGGCAAGGCCAGCACTGCTGGCGTCACCGCCCCCCACCCCCCGGCCCTGCTCCCTGGAGGGTGCTGGCCAAGGGGGGCAGCGAGGCAAGCTCTACCCCACCCCCCAGCAGGCAGCAGCGGCACGGGGTGATGTGTGGCACTGCTCCATTCCCGCCTGCACGCCATCATTCCTGATGGGCAACTGGTAGTTTATAAAATAAAAAGACTACCTGGAATTCACTTTTGTCTGTCAATGGAACCAGAGCCTCAGAATTTGTGACTATCATACACATTTTCTTCATTTTCTCTGACAAGCTGTTATGATGATGATATCTAATTGTAAACCAGTGAGGGACTTTTTGTCAGGCATGCCACAAATTAGCCCTGAACCCACTAATATCCCCTTCCCTTGCACAATCTTGCTCTACTTTCTTCTTCCTGCTCCCTCTTCCCAATCTGTTGTTCTGCTTTCTGTTTCCTATGCCAATCTGCCACCACACTGTCTGTCCCCTCTCCTTGATCTACTGTGTGCCACGCAGAGGTTGCCTGTGCCACTTGAGGCATATGGGCTGTAGACTGGCCACCCGTGTTGTAAACTGAGAGACAGGGATCATGTGTCCCTCTCTAAAAACACAATACTGTCAATACGATCAAGATCTATGACAACAGTACAACCTGTATTTTGCTAAGCTATCAAAAATTACCTTTTTATTAGTTTTAAAATGATTAAGAACAATAAAATGTATTAGAGATGTTAGTAAAATGTTTGCTTTCTGTGTTTTAATTAATTCCTGATTTAGTACTCTTGAACAAAATTCACCCCGGCTCTCTCCACTCATGATCATTTCACTATCAATCAATCTAATTCAAACAGGTACATTTCAATCAATTTAGAATGGATCGAGAAATTTCTAGCTGGTTTTGAAATTCACAAAATAAAACATGGGACTCAGTAAAATTAATTGTCTTCTAGGGTACATTTAAATCAATATAGGTGGAATTGCAGCAATACACCGCACTTCCTCTATTCAAAATATTCCGTTTTCAAGCAATAAAACAGTAGCTCTGAGAAAACAAAAGCAGTTAAGATCTTTCAACATATTACAAAACATCAGTGTAAACTATGGGAAGAGACCAACCTTTTTTTTTTTTTTTTTAATCTTGGCTTCAGGGGGAAAAAAGAAAGGCTAACAGTTTGAATGCTTAACAGGATATTAAATGTTATATTAGACAGAGACAAAGAAAGCAAGCGTCTCCCACATCACATTTGACAGACAAATTAAAAGAAGAAAAAAAGAAGAGTGAGTGTGCACATGCGCACAAGTGAGCACACATTAAGCTGTTAAATGTCAGGGAGAAAAAGAAAAACAAAACAAGACCTCCCTCCCTTCCCTACCTATACACACTTCTCCTTACATCTAATTTTTCTCTTACAAGCATGTTTAAAATGTAATCAGCAGGTATATTTTAGCTACACACCATGAACATTAGTACAGTAAAAGCTGCGTTATCTGACATCTTACAAGCCAGCATGCTCTACTAACTGGCATGCTGGCTTGTAAGATAAAGTGAAACTGAAAGTGCCCACCGCAGCACTTCCAGTTTCTCTGAGCCCCCACGGCCGGGGACAAAGCAGCCTGTGCTGCCGAGCCCCCATGGCCTGGGAGCATAACGGGCTACATGGGGCTGTGTGGGGCCTGCCTTCCTGTCCCGCGGGACCCGCAGGGCCTGCAGGACGGGTGGCAATGAGGTGGGAGGGACGGCGATGCCACAGGAGGGGCGGAGGAATGCTCCAGATGTGGCGGGAAAAGCGGCAGCCGGGGCCACTCAGTTAACCAGCATATTTTGTTATCCGGCATCCCCCATTCCAAGGGGATGCCGGATAACAGAGCTTTTCCTGTATAATCAGTCTGTACCATCAATCAACTATTCTGCAATCCCTATTATAGCTTAGTTTTTAACTCAAGATGCTATATTTACCCATGTTCATTTCTTCTGCTACATGTATGTCGTCAGCATGCACAGCTTGATCCAGCATCTCAACAAACCGCTCTTGGATTTCCCCAGCTGACTCATCTCCAAATTTATAATCACATAGTGTCACACTGGATCCAGCAATGGGGGCAAACACTCTCTGAGGCAAAGCATGATACTCCCTCTTGAGATCTATAAAAGAAAGAAAGGAAATTTAAAAAAACTAAGGCAGCTACTAGCTATTCTGAAAACCTTGTTGTAATCTGCATTCACTAGATAAAAACAAAACAAAAAAAACCCCTACTGCATAAGAACTATCTGACATTTACCTGGAACAAAAAAACTGATTTCACATACTTCAGATAACTTCTTTTTCACTGTGCCTTAGAAATTCTGGCCACTCATATTTATAAAATAAATTATATGCCTACTAACTGAAATTAAATAGGTTTTATATAACACTTTTCACTGGTCCTGAAGGAGACAAATGACCTTCAGATGTGATGATAAATCAAGAATGTTGACTAGACCCTTTATCTTTCAAAGAGAGACCCAAGGAACCAATGGGTATGTTGGTGATAAGAGTGTTTTATAAAAAAATAGTTTCAGCATCAGAAAGGATTGCAAGCATGTGGTTTTCCTGTGCAGTAGTTAGATGGCACAGAGCACAAGTGCCACCTAAAGAGAAAATGGAAGACTGCATGCACCTGATAAATCACAATTTTTACTAGAGTTATAGGTTGTAGCCATGTTGGTCTAAGGACATAGGCAGACAAGGTTATTTGGGTAAATCTAGTATCTTTTGATATTAGATTTTTACCATGTACTTATTCCATTTTTGCACACATAATGGTATCCTAAAGTTGGTGATGAACACAGTATTAACAGCATACAGTTTTCCCTTCATTCAGTGTTTCTCTTTTCAAACACCCGATAATACATTACTTGTTGCTTTAAAAAGGATGGTCTTCTAAAATCCCTACAGTGGTCACAAAATAATTGATCTTGAAGGGTAATCTGAGCATGAATCACCAGAGGTAGTAGAGTATGTTCTCATGCTTTATTACAGGGATATCCTGCAGCCCCCAGGATTCACTCCCCACATTATCAACCTGCTGCTGCTGCCACCATGTTTGCCAGGCTTTCTTTTCCTCCTCTAGCTTTTGCTCCCTGCCCACATGCCTGGGGAGTCCACAGTGGGTGGGCTCAGGAGAACCCATGGACCCCACAGAGTGTAGCACAGCAGCAATGATACAGTGTAGTAGGAGTAGGGTGGAGGGGGAAGGGTTTACCATGCAGTACACAGTGGCAGACCTTGAAGGCCTGTAGCCCCTGGCTACACCAAAGTTGGGCAGCTCAGGTTTATAATCAAGAGCAAAAAATTACTTTTACAAAAAAATTAATTTATGGAATATTTATATTTCCAGCCTTGAACTGAATACAAAACTTGTAGCCATTCATTCAAAAAACTGAACTGATATGACTTGACTTTAGAGGCTTATCATTATTTTTAAAACCCACCAGTATACAAAACTGACACATGATAATACTGAGGACATTGACAAGAGAGTGACTATGTTTCTAGATCTAGTTAGGAAAACAGGAAGAGGTTGCCAAACTATATTACGCCATATCAGCCACATACGATTTCATTCAGGTTGCTAAACAGTTATAGGTTGGCAGAATCCATGAAGCAAGAGATTTAATACAACTTTTTAGTCATGATTTGTTATAAATCTGGATATTCTTGTTATCCAGGTAAGTGCCCAATTTCTTTTTCAATCTAGCAAAGTTCTTATGTACTTCTAAATTTTTACTGTCCAGCAGGAACATCACAAAACTTATCACTTCATTTCTAAGTGTTAAAATTCTTCCGTATAACGACACCTTAATGCTGAATCTCTGACTACAGCACGTGTCATTAAATTCTTGGTCTGCAGAGCAAAGGAAAGAATAAAACCTGAAGCTCTGCTGTATCCAGAAGCTAGTCAATAACAGCTGTGAGAGAAAAAAAATAGTCCTTAAGAACAATATTTGAACTCGAAAAAAATCTTTCTTAACTAGTTCATCCTTTTCTGCCCCACCAGTCACTTGTAAAATAACTGTGCTGCCAAATGCATTTTTAATCTTCTTTGACTACATTCAGATTTCAGTACTTCAGACTGATTCCTGCTGACTATCAGTAAAGCAAACTATATTACAAAGTATTTTGTTTTCTCTTTAAAGTCCTACTTTTTTTGCCAGGTGCTTCATTTATAAGCAGGTCTTCAAACAATATTTCACAACGGTCTGAGAGTGTGTTTATTATATCTCTTCTCAAAGCCTGCAAGGATCAAAAGCAGGAATATAAGTGATGCAAAAACCATATCTGAATGATTTATAATTAGCAAAAAACAACCATGTGGGTGTTGGCGAGTCCGTTCTATGCATACAGTTCACCTCTACAACAATATAAAAATGTAAAGCCAATAATAAAAAGGCCTGACCAAAAAACCCTCTAGCACAGTACTATGATAAAATCACCAGCATTATTGAAATCATCATACTATAGCATTTTATAAAATAAGCTTAAATTGACATAAAAAATTAGGGCAAAGATCCTGAAAGCCTGAGTTGTACAAAGATTTCCTTTATCATCTTAGACATATTGGGACTCTCTTTAAAAATACTTTGTCTGTTTCCAAAATTATTTTGAGAGACTGATTTAATTCACATCCATACAGTGTTCAGGGCTGCTCACATAATTGTGAAGCATCAGGTCAAATGCTGTCCTCAGATACACCCCTCCACCAAAATTACTGGGGTTCCATTTTGTAAATAAAAAGGTCATTGGTTTATGTCTTACACACACACAGTGTCACACTGGAATACATGAAATTAAAGGCTTTTAACACTGATGTTATATACAAAATAATTCTTAAAATTCTAGACTGTGTGGGCCTGTTATTAGCTGATCCATGCCAGTATATTAGTGTGGGCCTGTTAGTTCATGTTAGTATAGTGGTAAGTATCACTACCTGTCACATGGGAGACCAGGGGAGACTGAAAATGTTGGGGGTTGAACCAGATGATCTCTGAGGTCTCTTCCAACCCTATGATTACCAATCTACCAAAGGGAAACTTAGTTCAATAAATTTTAGGATTTCAGTAAAATATTTCAGAAAGACTAAAAAGCAAATGCTTCAAAAGAAAGGAATATAATTACTTAATTCAATACCTGGATTGCATCTTTAACTCTTGGTTTGTTATTATGAATGTAAGCTCTACATTTGATAGCACCTTTAAGATTTATGGAGCCTCTGCAGACCTGGACAGTAGCTGTGGATCTGTGACTTGAACTCTGGGACTGAAAAGAAAAAAACATTTCGGTTCTAATCTTAGCTATGAATCTGTAGTATCAATAAGAAAGCCACTTTCTGATATCACATTAATTTTATCATGTTAATTTTAAAAATTGATGTTATTGCCCCTCCCAGCCCCATTCAAAGTCCTTAATTTACAAAAGCAATAAACATAAGGGACCTCCTTTTCCAGCTCATAAGAATTTTCTGTTTTTTCAGGAACTCAGGGCACTTATACACATACCTTTTCATGCTGCAACGTGCCAAAGATCCAGCATGTCAAAGCAGACTCAATTAATCAAGTCAGCTCCGCATGCAAAGTGACGCTGCATCTCTTACATTTGTATAAACAGGGAAATGCATGTCAGCATGCAGAAAATGGCGATGGAGTACTTTTGAACTAAAATACCTTTGACGTGCTTTAGTTCAAAAGCATGCCACCACCATTTTCTCAGTGCTAACACGCATTTTGGCATTTATACAAATGCATGTAACACAGTACCAGGTGCTTTCAAAAGCTAAAAATGCCCTCAATTTCTTGCAATTAATACACTTATCTGTCATCAGTAAACAAAGTCACAAGAGGTATATCTAGCACTGCTATCAAAACAGCACTTGTCAGATAATTAAGCTCCCTCTGTTGGTTCTTACATCTTAGTCTCTATTGTTTTTACAAACAGAATAATACATACTTTTTGGTATACGCTCAGGGTACAGAATTAACATGATTTTTATTTAAAAGCTTTGCTGCTAATATCAATACAGCATTTCTAGTAATTTAATTTGTATGCTACGATTTGAAACTCTGTTTTAAGTTACAGAAAGTTTGTATATTTACTGTAAGCAGTACATCTAATTTACAATATCTACATTGAGCAGATGGTGTTGTCTGGCCAACCCAGTAAGAAGGGCTTTAAACTAGGTGTCACAGGGGATGAACATCAAAACCCTCAAGCAATTGAGCATGTAGTACAGAGGGGAAGGGACTCAAAGCAACTTAACTCTGGGAAAGGGCCAGAGAGCTACAGGACTGCAACAAGTGGTGCAAAAGAGAAGCAAGTAAGTCAAAATGTGAAATACACCCAATGCATGTGTATAAATGCAAAAAATATGGGAAATAAACAACAGCTGGAAGATGCAACCTGTAAAAAGAACTGTGATCTGATTGGTATCACTGGGACCACGTGAGACAGCTCTTATGACTGTAATGCCAACAGTGGGTTACACCGTTGCTGAAGGACAGGATTGGGAAAAAAGTGATAGTGTTGCCTTGTATGTCAAACACACGCACAATTGTTCCCTGGATCAGGAGGAAGACGGCAAAGCAGAATGCATTTGGGTGAAAGTGAGGGGTAAAAAATGCAGCAACAATATAATGGTGGGGATTCATTATAGGCCACCAAATCAAGAAGAGGAAGTCAAAGAGGCACTTCTCAAGGAACAGACAAATTTATCAAAGAGCTATGGGATGGTACTGATGGGAGACTTCAATTTTCTGGATATCTGGTGGAAGAACAATACAGCCAAACATAAAGGCTGTGTGGCAGGACAGGACCTAGGGGTGCCGTGAACTCCCGTAGCATCCCCTACCTACCGTGCCAAATCGGTTTCCATGCACCCTCTTTATCTCGCCCGCCACGTCTTTGATGTTAATGTAGTAAAAGGGAGGCTGCCTTTTTACCCTCTTTGGCACAGTGCCTTGAGATGTCCCAGTCCGTGCCCTGCCTTCGGTGACACAGTGCACTCTAACCTCTGGGGCTACGCATGGGCCCTACAGTCACCCGGGACCTCCCGGGCTCTCTGCTTCGTCTCCATTACCCGTGCCCTCACAGACGCTCTCTGGCTCATCTCCCTATCTGCCTGTGCCCTCTCGGGTGCTCCCTGGCTTCTCCTGCAGCCCTCGCCCGCTCTGGGGCCTGGCTCCGCACCCTCGCCCACTCTGGGGTTTCTCACAATCCCACAATTGAGGCTCAGGTGGCTGTAGCCATGCCTGGCCCCCCAAGAACCCCTTCTCGGGTCTTATGCCCCACTGGGCTTCTCACCGAGGCTCAGGTGGCCGTAGCCGTGCCTGGCCCAGACCCCTCCTCGGGTCTTGTGCCCCACTGGGCTTCTCACCTGCGCCCGCACTGGGGCCTTCTCTCATGACACTGCCCACACTGGGGCTGGGGTCGATACACCCCCAAAAAGCTGCACCCTCTCTGGCACCAGGAGACCCCACATTACCGTGGAGCTCCTATGAAGCCTCCTCCAACCCCTACAGCCTCACTTGGTCCTCCGGTGTAACAACAAAGCAAAACCATAAGCCAATCGGCTACAACTCAAACTAAGCCTCCTGGCTAAAACGCAATCTGTAAGCCACCTGGCTAATCATCATTCCACTCCCTACCAGGACTTTCTTCACCCAGCATCTTTGAAGCAAAGCTGCTCAGGCCATCGGGCTTCTCTACGCTGCTTGCTCCAGCAGAGATCCTTCTCCCTTGGATGTTAGCGGGGAACTGCCTCTGGCCTCAGCTGGGCTTGTTTATATAGGCCCAGCCCTGCCCCCTTCTGGTCAGCTGACCAAACTGTGGTTGCCCCGGCAACCAGCACCTGTCCCTCTTTCTAGGAGCAGGGCACTTCAGTGTCCTGCAACAGGCTGCTTACAGACTGCAGTAGGGGCCCAGCAGAGCCCTGTGCTTACCAGAATAGAGGCTGCCGGCACACTCGGCTGATCCCCTGCTGGACTCACAGGGAAACGGCAAGCCTCAGCTCTTGGGTCAAGCCCCGTGGCACTGCCAGACAGGCAGCCAGCACACAGCAGGCATTTCCTGAGCCCTGTGCCTAAATCAGGGCAGAGATCAGAACCACAGGCCCAAGGAAGAACATGCAGCCGGTGCAGAGTGTTGCTTGGGGTCTGAAGGAAGCAGCTGCAGGGGATAATGAGCCCCTCAGGAACACCTAACACTTACCAGCAGCAGCAGGGCAGGTGGGGGTACACAAGGGACTGGATTGGCTCATACCAGCCTGGATACCCCTATGAAAGCCCACACTGATATTAGGAGTGGGGGAATGCACAGTCCAATAAGGACTCTCATTGCGTTTCCCCATGGACCAGGAACCTGAGACCCCACAGATTTGAGTTCTCCAGACTGATATCAGACAACCAGGCTGCTGGGGGAGCCAGGTATCTGTAGGGGCTAAGCCAGCACAGGGCGGCCACCCTTGTCTGACAGAATGCCTGATGGAAGGCGATTGAAGCGCCCGTAGAGCCAGAGAAGGGCCTAGGGCACAATCATCTGAGTTGTTAATTTATTTGTTTCTTTACACAGGCCAAGCCCAGGTGATCCCAAAACCTGCAGCAAACCTCAGCAATTACAGCTGAAATGCACCAACTTCAGACAACTCAGCTGCTTCCTTCTGTGCCTGAGCTGCAGGGCAATCACTCAGGCCAGCTAAATGCATGTGACCAGCACCAACCGGAGCCCTGAGCAGAAAGCAGTGGGGTATAGGAGGACGAGCCCCACAGAAGACCTTCGCATTGACCCATGCTAACCTTGGCATACTCTCGCTAAGCAGGTACTACCGCCTATCTCTTTTCATTTGCATCAAGTGGTGGCAGGCGAGATTTGAAAGCGAGAGAGCAAGACACCCGCTAAACATGCGGCATGCAGGCCCCATCCCAGTGCGGCCTGGGTCCCCTCTCCGCAGACTTTAAGAAGAAAAAAAAGAAAGGAACTTGTCGAGTTTAAAGCAAAGCACCATTTTGTTTGTTTTTTTAATGTCTGTAATCAGCCAAAATATCAAGCTGGTTCCTAACTTGCGTGGAGGACAGCTTCCTATTCTGGAAACTGGAGAATACAACTAAGGGATCTTCTATCTTGGGCCTTGTCCTGACTGACAGGGAAGAAATGGTGGAGGATTTGAAGGTGATGGGTAACTTGGGAGGAAGTGATCATGGTATGATAAATTTCCAAATCCTGAGGCAGGTAAAGCATGAGGTCAGCAAAATTAGGACACTAGATTTAAGCCCTTGAGTCAAATGAAATCTGCTGTTTTTAAACAGGCATGGTACCACAGGAAGACATATTGAAGGATAAAGTCTCCCAGGAGGGCTAGGAGCTTTTAAGAGGCACAGTGTTGGAAGCCCACCAAAAAACTGTCCTGACAATGGGAGCACAAAAAGAATGGCAAGAGACCAAAGTGGCTGTCAAAGGAGCTTCTAAAATGCCTCAAATGGAAAAGGAAAGCATACAGGCAATGTAAGAATCGGCAGGTCACCAAGGAAGCATGCTGCACCTGGTAAAGGAGGTTAAGGACAACAAAAAGGACCAAGGAAGCTGTGGGTTCTCTGTTAACAAGCCAGATGCTGCAGCGATGATAAATCTGCTCAACAGCTAGTTTGCCTCAGTCTTCACAAAAAAAATTAAGCTGCCAGTCCCGTAGTAAGAATTATCTGGATAAGGAAGGGGTAAGCTGGGGGAGATGACAAGAGAGATGATCAGAGAGCCTTTCTTGAGTCTGTATGAATTCAAGTCAGCAGGGCCAGATGAACTTTATCCCAAGGTCCTGAAGGAACTGGCAGAGAAGATCTCAGAGCCCTTGACAATGATCTTCATGAAGTCATGGGAGACAGTCAAGGAGTAATGGGCACAAGTTGATGGAGAGGAGGTATAGATTGGACATCTGCAAAAACTACTTCACAGTTAGGGCAGCTAAGAGCTGGAACCAACTTCCAAGAGAAGTGGTGCTGGCCCTTACCCTGGGGGTCTTTAAGAAGAGGCTGGATGCCTACCTGGCTGGACTCATTTGAGTCCCGTTTCTTGTTTTGGGGTTTTGTTGTTCTCCCGCCCTGGCGGGGGATCAGGCTAGAAGATCTACTAGGTCCCTTCCGACCCTAAATCTATGAAACTATGAACTATGAAACTATGAAACAGTCCAGGTACCCAAGGCCTGGAAAAGGGCCAGTGTAGTGCCCCTCTTTAAAAAAGGCAAGAAGGAGGACCCAGGAAACTACAACCCAGTTAGC